CCATTTCATTATCGGTAAGTCTCATTTTGTTCTTGCAAAAATCCTTAAAAAAATATAGCATATCGCGACAATTTTCAAATTACTTCAAGAAGTGGTATATTAGTTTCAACCTTTTGGAAAACATTAAAAATCCCCTTTTCCTTGGCTTATTTATCGCGTTTCACTAAGCTCAAGTGGAAGGGAGGTGGCATGGAATAGGGAGATATTGTATGAGGAGTTGGCATTGAATATTTCTCTTTCCTCCAGGGTTGTACATTAACTCCATTTTTTTCTCTTGAAAATTTATTTTCTTTCTTTTTCTTTCTCTCATGCGTCACTTTATTCTTGATTTATTTGGGATCTTGGTTCTTCTTTTACTTTCCCTTTATTGGATTCTATAACAGCATCTTTATGGATTTGCACAATCACGGTGCACTCTAAAGGGTGATGGCACTAAAGTTTTCTCATGGGTTTGCCTCGGTCTGATATAGTAGCTTTCCCTGCGATTCTATATGTCCCAAAGTCTGAGCCAGATGACTCATTTGCTTATCCAATTCCTATATATGTGCTTCAGTTAAGTTTTGAAACTTCTCTTGAGACAGCGCCAACTGCTCCACGATAGACACCAGTGAGGGTTTTGGCGGTTGGTACTATTGTTGAGGAGGCCTTGATTGATACTGTTATTGTTGAGAAGGACTTAGGTTCTGTGCATAGATAAAGTTCAGATGGTCCCTCCACCCTGGATTATATGTATTTGTGTTAGGATTGTATGGTCTCTTGGGAGGTCCTGGAAAATTTCCAACCACGTTGACTTGTGCGGCAAAATCTTCTTGTATCATCGGACAACAATCCGTGGGATGGTCCGTCATTGTACATATTCCACAAAGTCTATTTGTACTTGTTATACTTACAACAATAGTTTGAACTATACCAATTTGCCAATTTTGGTTTCCTGTGAAATTGTACTTATCTCATAAACCCGTCAAGTAGGTTCACTAGAGGATCCAAATTGTTGAGAGTTAGCGGTCATAGTTGAAATCAAATTTATGGACGCATTTGGAATCATATTAACAAGTTCTCCTCCACTAGCTATATTAGTAATCTTCATCTCCAAAGGAAGTAATCATTCGTAAAAGTATTGAATGAGTGTTTGCTCTGTCAATCCATGTTGTGGACAGCTTGCGTAAAGTTTCTTGAATTGTTCCCAGTAGTAATATAACGATTCTCCATCTTTTTGTCGTACTCCTAAAATATTTCTTCTTAGTTCACTCATTTTTTAGCAAGGAAGAACCTGTCAAGAAAAAGATGAAGTCATATTAGTGCATGTATTAACAAAATTATGAGGTAAATAAAATAACCAATCCTTAGCCGAGTCATCGAAGGAGAAAAAAGTGCGGAGTTTAATTTGATTCTCAGATACTCCTTGTGGTTTCATGCTAGAGAAAACCATGTGAAATTCAGTTAAGTACTTGTGAGGACTTTCACTTGGCATTTATGGAAAGTAGGTAGAAGATGAATTAAACCCATTTTTAGCTCAAATGGTATCTCTTTGAGAGGGAATACGATGCATAAAGGATGTTGTATGGCATGTACCGTAACTAATTCCCTGATTATCAATTCAACCATCGAAATCAGTTCTTCGTTGAATTCAAATCATTTCTCGATGTTTGAAGGTATCTCTGGATTAGGTTCTGGATTTGATTCAGATTGTTGTTGTCGCTATCTTCCATCTCTTTGTGTGCATCCGCGTATTCTTCGGGCTAGTGTTTCGATCTTAGGTATCCAATCTACTAGTTCGCCCGAGTTTTTCCTGGTCATAAATCAAAACAAACTTTAATAAGTAATTTTTCATGATCCCCGACAACAGCATCAATTCGACAAGCATCGTAATTGTCAAATAAATAAGTCCTTTTTATTAGATAACTAAGCTATAAATGTAGTATAGATAAGAAAGGGTCGGTTCACAGAGATTCAAAAATTTCTAATTTTAAATCAATTTGATCTTGATCGTGAAGAACTGAAAAAAAAAAAGTTTAGAACAATTAAATAAATTGAATAAAATTAAATTAAAGTAATGAAAACAAGAAAAGTAAATTGTAGAAAAATTAATTATGATGAGAGATAGCCTTCAGTTTTGCTTTGCCTCAATTCATATTGATATTTGAAATAGATTTTACTTCGGATACTTTACGGTTACAATCTACGAGGCCTAACCCTTGTAACTTACTCTTCTCTCCGGTGAACTAATTTTTCAAAGTCAATCATTGGAATTTGATCCTTGTTTAGATTAACAACGACTATTGATGTTAACACCAATGCAATATGAGAACTGGAAAATCCGTGCTTGGATTATGGTGTCTCAGTGAGAATCAAACTTGATCTTGATTTTCCTTAGTAGAATGACGCTAAGTTTGTTCTTAGGGAATTTAATTTGCTACAAGCCGACTTTCCTCCCAAACTTTAGATCAAAACGTTGATCAAACCAACACGTGTTCTATGGATTGAAAGTGTTTAGATCTTTAAAGGAAAGGTCGATTGCCAATCATTGATTTTGGAAAATCATGAAAGGAATATGAAGGTATGAAGTACTCTTCAATTATCACGAAATGGATTGAGTCATCGCTCAGCTATCAGCTAAATGAAAGTTTAGCCAAGCATGATAGAAATCATACTTGGCGTGTAAAAGGAAAAGAATAGATGAAGTAGAAGATAAATTTTTATTAAACTAAAAACGTGAAAGCAAAGCGAAAGCCAAAATCAATACTCTTCTCAAGCTTCACCCTTACAGGGTATTTATAGCTTTGAGATAACCTAATGAAAATAAAATAATAACTCTTAAGAACATTGAAACACTTAATTCCTAATTAATAGTAAACTAAAAGTCCTAATAATAAATAATTAAAATCCTAAGCAAACTAGAATTCTAATTAATTAAATAATAAAATCTTAAATGTTTGAATTTAATTACAAATTTTAATTCCTAAAGAGTTATGGTTCGCCCGACTTTCCTCATTTGATCTTGCTGACTGGATTATTTTATTGAAGTTGGCGCTGGCTTGATCTCAGAAATATGAAAAATCTACTTAATTTACCTTTAATTGTAGTTTTTTTTGAAATTAGAGTCTTACGCATATTTGAACATGAATAACCTAAATTAGTACTATTAAATAGGTAACATTGATTAATTAATACCAAACTATTAATAAAATAAAACACTCATCAGAAATTATCCTTTGATGTGGGATGGGATTATTTTAAAAAATACAAAGCATTCTTATCCTCTCTTCCCTGTGCTCTTTCCCTAACACCCTCTTACAATTCTTATTTCTTCTTGTCTCTCCCTTCTTGCTAGATAATTGGTAAAGTCTACACCTTTCATTATTTCCTTTATAGTATCTAAAATCTGAAGGTAATATTTATGCTCTTGAGATCATGAGCTTCAAGATGAGATCATCATCTTCTTTAATGGTGTTCTTGAACTCATTTGGGGTTTTATGAGAGTTTAAGCTCCAAGAGCTTCCTCAAATAATTTCCAACAAATTTTCACGTAGAACAATTATAGTTAAAATGGTTAAGATCACCATTCTAATGTTAGAACCATTTTTGTGTGGCCATTGATTAGCTAAAGAGCTATAAGATCCCTCTATGACTAAAGACAAAGAGAAAATAGTAATTGGTTGAGAAATAATGATTTTGAGGTGTTTGTGAACTTAAGTAACACATCTTAAGTCTTTTCTACTACTTCTATATGATTTAGATTTGTTTTGTTGGTTTGTATTAGATGGTGAATCAAGTTTTAAGTGCCTAGTTCTTGTGGGTGTGGTATCGATATCAGGGGTATGTTTTTTTTAAATATCTATTTAGTTTTAGTATTGGTATTCTAGGGGAGTATCAATATCAATAAAAGGAGTATCGTTACTGACATAAAAGTATCAATACTGTAGAATATTAAGTGGACTTTGAGGTTATTTTAGGTACAAGTACTTAAGGGGAGTATCGATGCTCATGGGTTGGTATTGATACCCATATATAGGTATCAATACCATAAGTGAGAAATGGATAGTGGAACTTTAAAATATCAAAAAGAACTTGAGAGTGAAGAGTCTATAATGTTGAAATCGAATGATAAACTTTAAAAAAGAGAACTTAACTATTATGTTTGATAAGCATAATAACATTATGAAGAAAGATCTTATAATCTCTAAAAAATATGACTAGCTAACATGACTCTTTATTGGCCCACATGACCTACTAGAATCAAATTTACTGTGACCCGATCATACTGTCAGGAATACTAAAGACATGCTGTAAAATCTCTAACATGATCAAAAGATGATAAGAGACTTCTATGAAACCATCTTACCCTTATTCTTCTATACTCTACCAACGTATGAAGAGATAGCTTATTAACACTATCTCACTCTTATTCTTCTACGAAAACGAAGTGCTAGTTTTTAAAGTTGAGGGACCAAAATTCAAGCTCCAAGAAGTTCGGGGACTATTTATGTACTTAAAACTCCTCCTCCTCATTATTATAGATGAAGAATGTAATAAAATAAGAAGTTAATTCTAGTAATTTAAATTTCAATATATAAAAATTATATATAATAAGAAAATTACACAATCTTTATCTAACTTTTATTAAAATTTCATTATTTAAATTGTTATACTTTTATAATATTTATCTAAATAATTAATATATTTAGGCTATAAATAATTAATTCAATAATTGAGTAAGGATTAGACTAGCAATAACCGAGTGTGCAGTGTGCAAGGACGAGCAAATAGCAATAGCAGAACTGTTCTTAGACAACGAAATGGTAAATACTTCCACGTTTGTTGGTCCTACCAATTAGTTGAAAAGAGTTCATATGCATTAAACTCTGAGAGCTGTTGCCGATCTTTTTCCATAGAAAACTCTTATCCGAGACCTCAACCAAATTAGAAGAGACCAACACAAATTATTTCCCATCGCCTGGGCGTCTGCTCTTCTTTTGCTCCTTTCTTTACTGTGTGTGCAGCAGTCAAGCTGCATCATTCCGTTGGGAGCTTCGATTTCCTCAGCCACTCAAACAACCACATGGGCTTCGCCTTTCTGTTGGAGTTTGGCTGGACGGAAAAGGAAAGAACGCTAACCAAGTTATATGGACAGCAAACCGTGAAGATCCGCCCTTCACTTCAGAAGTTATTCTGATGATAAATGAGAAAGGAGTGGTTCTTTTGACTGTTGAGAGCCGAGAGAAGATACTTATTGCTAATGGAAACCACTCGGATGCCTTCTCTGCCTCCATGCTAGATTCAGGCAATTTTGTAATTTACAGCAAAGATAATCACACCATTGGGAGAGTTTCCAGCATCCTACCGATACCATTTTAGGTGGTCAGAGTCTGTTAAATAATAGCTAGTTGATCTCCAGTTTATCGGAAAATGATCCCTCAACTGGAAGGTATCATCTAAGGACGCAAAACGATGGGAATCTTGTACTGTACCCTCTAGAATCCGACGATTCTACTACAACTGCCTATTGGAGCACAAAAACTTTCGGGATGAATTTATCGCTTCACCTTTTTCTTAACTCGACAGGGCTCCTACAACTCATCAACAACATGGATTCGTCCATCTACCGCACAATTAATGGTTTATTTTTTCAAGAGGAGAGCTACAGTGACTACAACTAGAGCAGCAGCAGCAAGAAGAATATTGTTTACAGTGCAAGCCTTGATGTTGATGGAAATTTCCGGTTATAGCGAAATGATGGATTTCAAACGCAATGCTGCGTGCGTTGGTGAATTCCTGTAAAATTAAAGGCTTTTGCGGTTTCAACAGCTATTGTTTAATGACAATAGGCCTTACTGCGCATGCCTTCCCTGGATCGATCCAAATCAGAACACAATCGGCTGCAAGAGAAATTATTCGGAAGGAGGGAAGGCCAATATACCCATTTATAACATCACATTAATGCAAGGTATAGAATGGACTACGGGTAGATTTTACAGTAAAGAGATATTGACCAAGGATGCCTGCATCTAAACATGTCTCGAAGACTGCAATTGCGAGGCAGCGCAGTTCGAGAGAGTTTGCAGGAAACAAAAGCTCTCACTCAGGTATTTGCTACGAGACACTGATGCTCAAATGAATGCTACTGTTTTATTAAAGGTTGGAATCATAAGCCTTGAAGCACATAACGACACTGCTTCCCCTGATTTAAAGCCACCCAAGTTCAAAATCAAAAGGGAAATTTCGGTCGTGCAAATTCTCGTTTTATCTTCCGTTCTCGTGGAAGATGGTGAAAAAGAGTTCCAAGCAGAAACACGAGCAATCGGTAGAGCTCACCACAGAAATCTAGTTCGACTATTGGGATACTGTGCGCAGGATTCCAAGAGGCTTTTTGTGTATGAGTATATGGGCAATGGATCCCTTGCAGACCTACTTTTCAAGTCAACAAGGCGCCCATATTGGAACGAAAGAAGAAGAATAGCCCTTGATGTTGCTAGAGGAATCCTCTACTTACACGAGGAATGTGAGACCCCAATCATTCACTGTGATATAAAGCCGCAAAACATATTGATGGATGATTCCTGGAGAGCTAAAATGTCAGACTTCGGGCTGGCAAAACTGTTGATGGGAGATCATACAAGGACATTCACAGTAGTGAGGGGAACTAGAGGGTACATGGCACCAGAATGGAATAAAAACACTCCGATCTCCGCGAAGGCCGACATTTACAGTTTTGGTATCGTGCTTTTGGAAACAGTGTTTTGCCGACGAAACATAACACCAATGCATCAAAACCAGAGGAGATCATTCTGTCGAGTTTGGTTGAAAGAGAGATGGATAAGCTTGTGGCGGATGAAGAAGTGGACAAGGAAAGCTTGGAAAGAATGGTGATGGTGGCACTCTGGTGCATTCAAGATGAACCAGCTCTTCTCACTTCAATAAAGACTGTAGTTATGATGCTAGAAGGGATTACCGATATATGTATTCCTCCATGTGATGTGATGACCCAATCATCTCACTCAAAAGTGTTCTTGTAGACACTGAATGTATGAAAGGATTGCATCATGTCTGTGTTTTCTTTTATTTTTCAATAAATCTGTAAAATATTTCCTTCAGTGTACTCCTCCCGTGGTTTGTAGCTGTGGTAATTGTATTGCAGCTGTCTTGTTTCACTTAATTTATTATATAACTCAACAATATATATGAATGCAATAGTCGATTTATACTGCAATTTTTTTTTAAAAAAATAATGTAATACCTCATTTTTATCTAGTCCGTTTTATTTTATCCAACCCATTTAATTTATTACTCTTGTTATCATGGATAGACCGAGGGTGTAGGTAGGATATTCGTCTTCCAAAATTTTTAAATTCTCACGTATTTAATTTTTTTTTATTTTTTTATTAATAATTTTATTTTAATCATATAAAATTTTATAACTTCATTTCTTTCTAAAATTTTATAAGTTCCTCATCTAAATAAAATATTGGTCTTTTAATTTTTTTGGTTCCATCTTTTATTTATATTTTGGACATTTTTAGTCAGCTTCTTTTTATTTTCATTGGTCCACTTTTTTTTTAACCTGGTCGTACAGTTTATTCTCTTAAGCCTTTTATTCCTATTAAAGAATATATAATAAATTAATAAATAAATAAATGAATATTATATTTATTTATTTATTACAAATGCCTTCTACAAATAAACTGAGCTACAAAAGCCCAAACACCTTTTAGCCCATCTAGGCGCTAGTCCATCACATATCGGTTTGAGTGAATATTATGTTTTATTTATTTATACAGGAATAAACCCAGCTACAAATATTATGTTATATTTATTTATCACTGTGATTATAAGCTTTGTTTGAGTGAATATTGGTTCGATTATTTGTTTGTGAATATTGGTTTGTGTATGTTTGTGTATTAGACTGATTCTGTATTAAACTGTTTTGATGTTATTACATATTTGAAACACATACTTTATACATTTCTATTATTTGTTAATGTTTAGAATGTGATAAATTATTAATAAAAAACTTTACTGTTACTATATAAATAATGGCAAAGTACATCTAAAAATATTGTTAAAAATTGATGTTGTCTTACGCTACTAATACTGTTAATTCTAAAAAATATTGGTATTAAATCTATAAATATTGTCGAATATAATATTATGACGTTGTATTTGGGATTGGACATCAGAAGATTTTGGAGGCTCGTAGATGCGGTCCTGTCTAGCACTAAGCTTGTACAAGTTTTGTTTCCAACCTTGAAGATACTAAGTGTCAAAGTGGAGGGAGTTTTCCTTAACCATATCTTATATTATATCATATAGACATTATTTTCCTGCATGAACAAAAACTGACATCTTAATGATTATATCATTAGTATCATTTGTTTATGATATTATGGTTATTTTTAATATTGCATAGTACATGTTAACATACTATGATACATTTCAATTCATTATATGTTATGATTTAATATTATATGATTAGAATTTTCATTCATACATTCCATATATGTGTGTATCATATAGTTTTCACATTCCCATTTTCATGCATATGTTCAGCATTACATATATTTATGCATATAGGATTGACACATTCTATCATATGTTATAGTGTAGGTGTGCATGCATATGTTCATGTGTGTTGGTATGTTATTATAGAAGCCTTATATTTATATATTATATGTTCTTATTTAGTTATGAATTTATTTGTAAGGAATATTTCCTTTTAAAGATGTGACCAACGACTAGAAAGATGACAAGGAGGTGCAATTCAAACCAAGGATCATGTCTCTTCAATGCTTTTGGCGGCTACAAGGGGAAAGGTGCCTTCCCTTCCCTTCTGGCGGCTACAAGCTTTCATTCCAAAGGCTACATGATGAAAATGAAGAGTTATGCACTTTCATACCTCTTCACAAAGAAGTATATATGAGGAGTCATGATGCTTCATCAAGGGATGCTTCTCCAAAGTACATGATGCTTCTCCAAGAATTGCCTTTCCAAGAGATATGTTGCTTCACCAAAATATTCCTTTCCAAAAGACATGTTGCTTCATCAAAAGATTTCTTTCCAAACGACATGATGCTTCACCAAAAGGTGCCTCCAAGAGACATTTTCGTTCATTTCAAAAGGTACCTCCAAGAGACATGTTATTTCATCTCTAAAGATGCATCCAAAAGTCACAATATTTTATCATACCTCTTCATGGAAGGGGTGGATGAATAAGCATCAATTCAAGGGACACAATTCTCTGTTGAATTATATCTTCATAAATTGGTATTTTATGAAAGGATACAAGAAAAGAAAGACACTCTTTAGCAAGGGAGAAGGGAATAAAACATGAAAGAAAACAATCAATGGCCTTAAAGAATATGTTGGTTCACAAAAGACTCCTCTCTCCATCTATGACCGGTCACTCTTTCACCCATTAGGGGTGCCTTTTCATGTTGTCTTTCTAAGCATATAAATATGCCTTCATTTCTCATTTTGTAATCAATCAATCAACTTTCAATTCGAGTGCAATATAGTGAGATTTCACTTCTCTTTGTTCTTCTTTGATCCTAAATCCTTCCTTAACATCACCAACATCCTTGTCAACCTACACTATCATAATTACAACACCACATTCCATAGAAGGCTATACATGCCAAAAATATATCCTTAACGTTTCTTCATTTAAACTTAACGTTATAAGCCATCAAACTACCCTACACGCCTATCACCTTAATCATATTTCATCTTCTCCCTTTCTTATCAAAAGAAGTGTTATAAAGATACAAACTATTTGCATTGAAGATCAGGACATCTCTGAAGCATACTTGGGAACATCATCTTCTAAGTGTGCCTTCTATCAAATGGTATCAGATTTTTTGGTTGAATCAAGTTAGTGCCTACCTGTTTTGATTACAAGTTCATATTATGTATAAAAAATTGAGAAAGAAAAGAAACACAAAAAATGTGCAAATAATTACATCATAGTTTGTAAGTTTATTTCTTGTGATACAAGTTACCTCTATTTCTTTATATTTTCTTTTAAGGTACCTTTACTACATTATCTTTCTCTATCATTACATCAAAGTTTGTAGTTGACCTACAAGAACAAGTTTTATCAAGTTTGGAGTGAGTTAAAATCAAGAACTTAGAGAAAATAATTGAGTGGATAAAGAAAATAGAGTTGTGAGATTGAAGGGGAAATAGTCATATTCCTGAGTGCTAAACACGAGTGGAGTGACAACATTTCATTTCCTTGAAGAGTTCGTTGTGAGGATTTTTGTGAGTGTGCAAGTGAGGTTTTCAATTTTTGTTATTTATCTTCACTAATCATGTCTCATAACTTTATCAAAAATTTATCAGCCTCAAAAGTTAGAGGAGAACTAGGGAAAAATGTATCAGCCTCAAAAGTTAGAGGAGAACTAGGGAGAAATGACATTCAATACATCATACAAGAAAAGACAAGATTATTGGTGCCTATAAGAAAACGATTGAAAATACTTAAAGAAACTTAAGACAACCAGATAAATCAAGGACCTAGAAGACAAATGAATCCTATAAAAAAGAAGATTATCTAGAAGAATATGAAGAAAGGTAACACTTCGTCCACAGATGAATGACAACTTAAGCAACATAAGGATTATCATCCCATTATTCCAAGGGAAATTGACCCTAAAGCATATCTTGATTGGGAAAAAAGGTTAATTATATTTTTCATTGTCACAACTGTTTTGAACAAAAAAAAGGGTAAAGTTGGCAACAATTGAATTTATTGATTATGCTTTGGTTTAATGTGATCAATTAAATTCTAGAAGGAAGAGAAACAGAAAAAGACATATCTACCTGGCTAGAGATGAAAACAATCATAAGACGAAGATTCATCTCAACACGTTACACTGAGAACTATTCTAACACCTTCAAATTTTGAGACAAGGCAATCGAAGTGTGGATGATTATTACAAGGATACAGAAGTTGGTATGATTATACTAACATTGACGAAGATCAGGAAGTAGAAATGGAAAAATTCTTAGAATGACTAAATCCAAAGATAGCCAATGTAGTGGAACTACAACACTATGGTGAGATTGATGATATGGTACATATGACAATAAAAGTTGAATGACTAAATCCAAAGATAGCCAATGTAGTGGAACTACAACACCAAAGTGGGGACAAGGGGACTACAAGAAGACAACACTATTTTAAATCAAGGAAAATGTATAAATTCCTAAGCCTAAGTAATCAAATTTAGAAATAGGTAAAGGAAAATAAGTGGTTATAAACGATCAAATAAGAGACATTAAATGCTTCAAGTATCTTGGGAGAGGGCATATTTGACGAATAGGAAAACACCCAACTTGATATTGATGGCAAAGTACTCATTGTTAAAAGAAGTTTAAACACCCATATGGTGGTGGAGGATGAACAAAAACATGAGAACATCTTTAATACTCATTGTCATTTCAACATAAAAGTATGTTTTGTAATCATTGATGGCGGGAATTGTACCAATGTTACTAGTACACTGATGATTGAAAAACTTGGTTTGAATACGACGAAACATCTAAGCATTGTTAACTATACCTTGAAGCTTAGAAAGAATGAACAAGAAAAGGAATGCTAAAACATGGAATCTATTCATGATTGTTTTAAATAAATGTGTAGCTATTTAAAGTTGTGAATGAGCAGCTGCATGATCGGTTATAACTAATCTACAACCGTCTACCAGCCTAACCGAATATGGTTTAACATTCACCCTGCTTCTTACAAACTTCGTTCAACTAAAAACACACAGTTTACTTCTAAACAAATCAAATTTGAGCAAGGGAAGAGGCTTTGTTAGAATGTTTGCTACTTGGCTACTTGTGGGCACATAATTGATTTGAACTTCACGAGCTACCACTTTTTCACACATAAAATGTAAGTCTGGCTCGATGTGCTTATTCTTTGCATGCAGTATGGGGTTTACTGCCATAGCTACTACACTGGTATTGTCACACCAC